TACCCTTCTAATAATAAAAAACACTGAAAAGCATTTTGACACTTCAAATTTTCCATAATTCGTAGTAATTTTCACTACGAATTATAGAAAATATTATTATAATTATTATAATTATTATATATTATAATTATTATGATTATATAATTATTATGATTATATAATTATTATAATTATAATTATTATATATTATAATTATTATAATTATATAATTATTATAATACTATAATTATTATAATTATAATTATTATTATATGTATTCATTTTTCTACAGTAATTTAGTTAATATTTTTTGCTCGGAGATTGCAGTGAACTTCGTGAAACTCAGTTTAAAAAAGTTCGCTATAAGAAATAACAGCGAATGGCTCTGACACTCAAAAAACACCTCAGTGTAAGAAATAGTGGAGGTAAATGTGTTCTAGTAAACGGCACTTTACTATTAAAAACACTACTGATGCATTTCCTGCCTTTTTAAATCTGGAACGCAAGTCGAACTAGAATATCAGGCTTGCTATTCTGTAATCGTGGTTCTGAGGAATGATAGGAAATAGGGAATAGATCCCTTAATGTTTTCAGAATTCAAAATCTATTTACTCATTTGAAAAAGTAAAACACCATAGGATATCATTGCTCCATATATGCTTAGAAACAATCTCTTATCAATGACAAACAAGCTTCCTCCTGTTACGTTCAAGTTCAATCCTTTCAAATTTGTGATTAAAGCAGAAAACACGTTACTGTCTGCATACTTCCAAGAATACTCCAAGGTAATGGTCTGCAGCATTTTACCTTTGGTACGTACTCTAGAACCACTTAAAGTCAAACGGACGGTTAAAACTGTCCCAATGACGACAACCCAAGCAGATGCAAACTTCAATAAATCTAGAGTAATCTTTTCTTCCGACATCAGCAGACTCGTGAGGGAATAAAACATAACAACATGAGCGCAATACATAATTAGCACAACTGAACTCAACGCCTCTTCTGCAGATTTGACCAGATATGATAACTGATTTGTGGAATGGATAATGTCCACAATGAATGCTGGCTTTATATCTAGTGAATCCAGCTTGTATTTCATTTCTTTGCCGAATTGTTCAATAATATCTCCCAACACTGTATAATTTAAATCACACAGAAATATCGCCAAGCTCTCAGTTGCTGTTGCCATATTGTAATTCACTGTACAAAATATAAGAAAAAAGGCGATTGTTAAATCCTTAAAACGAATGCTTCCTATTAATTCACCAATAACCGATTTCGTATTATTCCAATCAAAATACATAATAACGAATGAAATTATCATTCCAAATAACATAGAAGTGAAGTGTCCAATGAAAACATTTCTAACGATTTGATTGTAGCCAATGTTGTGATGAGACTTAAGCATTAGCGCTTGGCGACGAATAGTTTCAAAGAGCTTCCATATTTTTCGTCGATTCACAATGATAATAATTCGTATTATCAAGCTAAAGACAAAATTAAGGATAGCTGTAAGTCTGACGTAAAATGAATCCATTAGTATGTAATAAAAGTATAAGCTTACAACGAAAGAGACGGTGGCAAATGTATTAATTACGCAGCACCAAATTAGTTGCATTTTTCGCATGCCTTTTTTCGTTCCACTACATTTTATAGGAAAGCCTAGAATATTTGAAATAATAAAACCTATTTTAAATGACTTCAAAAGTTGATGCATGGTTTCCGATTATGTATGCCGAAAAATCTTGGAAATGACTTTTGTAGTTTATGTATGATTTTTGATTATTTATGCTTTAAATTCATATCAAAACCAATTGAAATAACTTCAAAAGTTGAGGCACGGTATTTGGTTACATATGCTGGAAAAAGGAATTATGTGTGACAATCGAATTAGACTTTTTAATCAAAATATTCATTTAAAAATATGAGACTAATGTATTAAAAACTATTCGTGAATTGAAATACAATATACTTATCTGCGCAGCACAATTTTTTAATTTAATAATTGTGTTTCTCAAACTTCTTATTTGGTTATTTTACATAATTTCGAAATAATTTGCAAATGATATCCTTTATTTACAAACCACAATAAGCACTTAAATCATATGAAAAAATACAATAGATATTATTAGAAAGTTCCAAACAATCAACGAAATATTGATTGTTTTGAGTACTTCAATCAAAATTGAAGAGATGAGAAAGAGTTTTTTTGTAGTTTCATAGTTTGTCAAGTAAAATGTGACACAAAGCAACAGTGAATCATTAGTATTTACCGTAAACAAAAATGGAAAAGATTAGATTTTTCATTCTTCTTGTCATAAAGGATAATTATTATTGAGATATTTAGATTATCAACCAATACCAATTGAAAATAGATGAATAGATGTGTATATACAAAGTTCAAAGTCTAATCTATATAAAATTCTGTACTTATATATTTTTCATTACCATAAAATGTATCAATAATAAAATAATCTTTAATTGGAAATATCGATCAAAAAACATCAAATTACAATTCCGTTTTCATTCACGGTTTAATCAATATAAAATTGGAGACTAAGAGAGAATTTTTTTCCAACATTTGCACTGTGGGCCAGAAGACCATGATCTTTGGCCAAAAGTCAAAAATTAAATTTTCAACTAAAACATGAGAAGGCAGCTTTAATATAGCCCAAATTAAGTATTCATGATCACTCCAAACACTATAATTTACTTTTTGGACCGACGAGAGTACAATGTAATGAAAAATATGTTTAAAAAAAAATTTTATGTAATTTTTAAATTTTTATTTCAGAAATATATATATATAGGAATTTCACCTTACTGTTACATTTTTATCAGAGTAATTAGTCTGAAATTATAGTACAACTTTTCAATATGTTGGACTGATCAGTTTATACTCTTGACAAACTTTTAGTTTATATCTTATCATTTGACATTTTACATTATTTGAATGACTTTCGAGACTTAGTTCCAAAAAGTTCCACGAGGTAATTTGCTAAACTTTTTTTGTTGTCTTCTTTGATGTTTCTTCATTCGAAAAAACCTGCCCCATTTTGCCCGTATTATAAAAGTGGACTAAATATGCCGAAAAACAAAAATTATGTTTTGTTTTCATGTTTTCGCGTTAGTTTGTAATTAATTCGCGTTATTTCGCAATATTACTTCGGAAATATAATTTGCTTTCAATTTTTAATATAAAATTACGAAAATTATTATATGTTCATTGCTATATTTAATTAATTAAACGTACTATATTATTTATTTATTTTTTGCTCGCCATATTTCAGCCGCCATTTTGTTTTGTTTTTTCCGGTACTTTTAGTGTATTTCAACATTTCAACTATGAATTCAATTTACCTGCACATTAAAACCCGCAAATAAAAAACCCCAAATTTTGAAACAAATTTTATCGAAATACTAATTTTGGCCACGAAACCTTGGATGATGGCCCACTGTGCATTATTACTTTTAATACAAATGTATCTGATAAAGTTAGAAAACCCAGATAAGAGCTTCTAACGGACAAATATTTAAAAAATGAACCTTTAAATAGAGTCAAAAGGAATTAATGGAAGGAATAACTTTTTTGGCAAAAATTTTCGGTAATCATTTTTTTTAAATTATCAAGTTCTATTAAACAAGTTTAGAAAAATATGTTCATCAAAATGATAGCATATCATGAATACTGCCAACTTTGCTTTTTTCCTTAATTAGTTTTTATTTTGTAAGAAATTATATCGTTTTGGAAGGCTGTAAAAAAATCGCCAAGCTATTGGCGCCTGTTATGCTTAATTAGTTGTGGTAGTAAGAACTTCTGATACGGTGGTACGAGTAATAGACACTTGTTCTAATTACACAGGTGCCTAATATAATAAAGGGTAATGTTTGTATTTTTTGCTGCGCTCTGAGAGGGAATTCCATCTTTTGTTTTTATTTAGTTCAATGAATAGTTTTTTACATAAGCACTCAATCAATATGCTGGATATATTAATTGAGTTCGTGTCTGATTATATTAGTTGTTATGTTAACTAGAACTATCAGTTGTGTGTATTTATTGTCATAAAAACTGCAATTTATTAGCTGTGCATATTTGTTGGCCCAATTATTAGTTGTGCATTCTAATCGCCATATTGATTGCAATTATTTTCGGATTTTAAATAGAATATTGACAAATATTCTGACTAATAAGCTGAATATATAAATTTTCTTGTTATAGTAATTATTAACTGATTTTTTTTAATTAATATATTGAGATCGGCGATGGCTCAGGGGATAGAGCGCTCTCTTCCCAATGAGGTACGCCAGGTTCGAATCTCAGCAATGGCTCATCAGTACGAAATCTGCTCCCGGCTGACGAAAAATATCCTTATTGGTAGACGGTTCATGGTTAGAATTTTCTTGCCATCAGGTTTTCGAGGTTTTCTTCTCTTTGTAACGCAATGGCGAATTAGTTCTATAAAAAAGTCGTTCACGAATGCTTGTTTGCTCCAATGACAAGACTTTCGTTTTTTTTTGTTTGGATTAAAAATTATTAGTCTATGGACTTAAACATTGAAAGTTGTAAAGTTAGAATTGTGTCACAGCTGTTCAACACAGTTATAAAATAAAATGTAATTCTCATATTTGTTGCAATTATTTTTTGAGTATGTTAATAACATGCTAACTGCAGTTATGAGCTGAGTATCCACATTTACATATTATTGCTGCAATTCAACGTATAATTTGAGAAACAATTTGAATAGACAAGTCGTATTATGTTTACGTAATTAAGTATCAGTTCCTTTAATTTATATAATTAAGCGGAAATTGCATGGAAGAGTTTAGAAAATTATGACGGAAGCGGTCAATCTTTAGGACATTTGACATTTTACAAAGAATAAAAAATCTCAGTACTTCTTATCTTTTTACGTTGGACATTAGTTTACAGGAAATTATATTTATGGTTATCGAAAACGGAAATATACCCTTAATTGTTTTTAAGAAGTGAAAAAGCTCATTCATTAAGTCAATAACTTTTGATTATTAGTAGCACTTTTTTTTTCTAGTGAAGACTTCCAAAGTAATAAAATTTTAAACTAGAAATTTTTAGTTTTAAAAACGGAAATGTTCAGATGAGCTAACATTGATTGTTCTTCATAATGGAGTGTATGAAATTTACATCTTTCGGTTTATTTATTTTATTGACTTTTATTAATCTCACATCAGTTGAAGGTGGTGTTAAAACAAAAACTAGCAGTAGCAGGTAATTAGACATTATTTAGTCTAATTAATCTATTATTAAATTTTAGATCCTCAAAGATGAAATTTGTTGAAAAATGGCTAAGTTAGTTGATAATTTATATAAGTAATTACCTTATACGTTAAAGTTATGTGTAAGGAATATTTAACTCATTTACTAATTATTTTATAAACTAATTTCACATTTGTTTCAAGGCGGTGTTTCAAGGTAAAGGAAACGAGCAGTGGCAGTTAATAAGATATTATTATTATCATTTTCAAAGCGCGTCGTTGTAATCTTTTTTGGTGTCCCATAAAACCAAAAAGACCATAACTTTTGCTATATTCTGGTAGTTTTGATCATTTTTTCTCAATGACCATATAATTCACATATAATGTCAAAGTTTTATGTACAAAATTTGGATGGAATTTAATGCTTTATTCTGCGTAGCAAAACTGGAGACAGCAGCATTATTATTTTTTATTTGAGGCATGTGGTGCCGTAGTTTTTTTTAAAGAGCTCTTACTTCATCAAAGAGTGAACTTTCAACCATTCTACTTTGAACAAAATTGATTCAGAGATTATTTTTAATATTTCTTAATCCTTAGAATGATTTTCTAACTTGGCAAAAGATACGCAATTTAAAAAAAATAAAGAGAAATATTAAGCTAAAGTCAATTAACAACATTATAACTTGATTAATTTGACAACCTTATAACTTTAGGTTTTATCCTTGCCAACCTAATAACACTTTTAATCCTTTTATCAATCGTAAAATTTTTTACGGTTAACTTGATACAATGTAAACTTTAATTTGTATGCTTTCTAATACAAATCTGAAATTTTTCCTTTTTTGCGATTTAAATATTTAATGCAAATGGCTATTTAATATAAATATTAATATTTTAACTTTTTGCATTTAAAACTTTAATTTGAATGACAGTACTTTACTGCATTGATAGTACAACACTTTGATTACTTTAATAACTTGAATACTAATTTACAATACTATGAATATTTTTATGTGCCACTGTATAGTTTATGCAACTTCTTAAACTTTAGAATGCGTTTTAATATAGATTCTACAGTTTTCAATTTGGGCCATATAAAATTTTATTTCAATATTTTACAACATATATTTGACATTTTTCCCTATGTGCATGGTAAAATTTTACTAAATTGAACACATTTCAATACTAATTGGAAATTTTCCACTCGATACACTTTAAACTCTAATTCGAATATTCTTCAATATAAATCTGATTTCTTCCATTCGTATGCATTATTATATTTTGACTATGATGCAACATAAATTTGACGTGTTTCTATTGGGGCAAGTTTATTGTTACGAGGAACATTTTGCACTACATATTAGGCCTTATTTTTTACTGCATTGGGAACTCTAATTTGAATAATTTGCAGCTTAAATTTGATATGCATTTACGTTAATCTCCTTATTTGAAATGATCTTTGAAAACTGTCCTTGGTTTTAGCTGTGTAAAAGGTTGACTTTACATGAAAATGTAGGTGAATACTTAGTTTTAAATTTGTCTTCAAAATAACTAATTTTGTACCGTGTATTCGTAATGATAATAAATTACAACTACTGTTTCTAGGTTTTAATAATTTCAATGAGCAAAATGTCTTGCTTATGGTGCTAATTGTTCATTTTATCTTGCAAAATATTCAGTTTATAGTGCAAAGTACTCGCTTTAGGAAACCATTTTTTAAATTGCAAAGTAATTGTTATAGTATACAAAATGTCCTTTTTCTAATTTTATATATCAGTTCCTAATTTTTCTTTAAAGTGGTTAATATATTTTATTTTCAATGTTTATATTTTTTTAGGTGAATCATATTTTTTAATGTTTGAATATCAACTTTTAAACTAAGTAGTTTCAAGTAAAAAACGGAATAATTACTTTCTTGGGCAATGTTACGAGCTAATTTCATTCCATTTTACTCGTTGATATTGAAACTGCAGGTTACCGGTAATGTTATAAATCCAACCTTGTAAGCAATACTAAATATAAACCTGTGGCAAAATATGAAATGTAAATATTGCATAATTTTAATAAATATGCGTAGCATTCATCAGTACTAATAAGCATTACCTAATGCATTATCTAATATTACTAGAATAGTTGAAAATAACTCCATGGTCAAACAAATAGATTTTTTTCTGCTTTCTTTATTAAGATAAGCATAATCTTATTAGTAGTCATTTTGCTTATTCATACAAGGGGTGTTCAAATGAAAAGGAACGAAACGACACGGTGGGTACAAATGTAGACTTTATTCAAAATATACACCATAGGCCTGTGCACAGCGATCCCACTGATGAACATGCCGCAGGATTCCTTGTTCCCAGAATTCCTGTGGTCTTGACGAGACCCAGTCCTTCACAGCGTCCTTGAGTATGTCGTCCGAGTTGAAGAGCTTCCCTTTCAGGTGGAAAAAAACACATGGAAGTCGCAGGGTGACTAGTCCGGATTGTAGGGCGCACTAGTCCGGATTGCAGGGCGCACTAGTCCGGATTGTAGTAACCCACTTGAACTTGGCCAGTTCCATGTGTGCGAGTCTGGAGACGTGTGGACGCGCTTTATCATGGAGCAGAACCCCCGTGAGAAGTCCCGGTCTTTTGTTCTTGATGGACCTGCGTAGGCATCAGAGTATCTCACAATACACATCGGAGTTAAAGGTTTTTCTACGCTCAAGGAAATCGGATAACACCTCGCTGCTCCTCAATCGATGAATTTTGCAGTGCTAACGCCATCCAGTCCTCATACGGACTGCCGCAGCATTTGGACGCCGCTTTTGATAAGAGCCTCTGTTCTCCCCTGCTCATGCGGGCACCAGCGTATGCTCTGATCCCAGTCAGAGACTCCAATCTCATCCCGAGATGTCTCGCTACGTTCTCCCATAGCGGAATATGCAAATATTTAACTGTTACGTTTTTACGTCGTTTCGTACCTTTTCATTTGATCACCCCTTGTAATAATAAGATTGCATACGATGTTGGGTAGCTCATTGATCAGCACACACTTACCCCAAAAAACAACTGCATTATTATTTTTTGAGGGTAATGAGACATGCCCCAGTTTGCCTTACGTTGTTCATTTTCCGGCTTTGATATTAGTAAGTAATAATAAAATAAGCCGGCCAGCTAAACTTCCATGTCGAAATCATTTTAAGTAATAAAATATTTATGAAGTAATTTCTGAAACTTGATTAATTAAAGTGGCACGATTTAAGAGGCTACAAGTGGTACAATTTTGTCAACTATGTTGTGTTTTTAACAGAGCGTTATACCAAGCTTCTAACAATAATTAACTAGAACACTATTGAGTAAATCAATTAACTATTGAAGGAGGTATTTAATAATCTGTACATAATTTGAAATATCCCTAGCAGCAAAATTACTTGGGCCCTCATTGACCCTCAATATTCACGAATCTTTACTCAATAACTGTTCAAAGGGTCGTTATTTTCCGATATTGGTTAGATATAGAATTGCCCAATTCACCCGATATTTTACAGTCAATTTACAACCAATATCGGCCTTATATAGAGCTTTCAGATTCACCCGGTATTTTAGATTTATTATTCACCCAATATCGGCCCTATATATTTGATCAATATTAAAAAATCTAGACATCTCAATATTGGTCCCTCGGGGGATACTTATGAAGAACCTATATTGAGGCAATTTTGAGCCCAACTGTGGCAATGTAGAATTGTTGCTAGAGATGCCATATTTTTACACAAGATTATGAAAAATTATTTTGAAAATTTGTAAACTTATTTAAAATTTTAACACGCTAACACAGTAACTTGATTCTCTTGTATAGACCTCTACCTGCATAAAGCTTCTAAATTTATCCGGTAGGGTGTTTCTCAACTCAGTTGATTCCTTTTAGAAATCAGAAGTGGTGTGATTTGGGAGTATGATTTAGAGAGCTTTCTTCTATTGGGCTATTGGGAATTACTAGTATAAGCATATTACTATTCAAATATTTTTTTTAAATAAATAGTGTCGTCGAGATTGAAATGATCTTATTACCGTGAAACAAAATCAAAATTAATGTCGTCGCAAATGGAGCAAATTAATTAGTTCTTCCGAAGACACAAAGGTGACAGAATTTTTATACTCGGCAATTACTATTATTATACTCGGCTATACAAATTATTCAGTTTTTCGCATTCGTCGACAAAATCGAAAATGATCGGAGAAAGAAAATAACGCCAAGTTAATTAATCAGCCGCTGGAAATGATATCAATTATCCACTCTCGTTTCAGAGAACTTCGATTAAACTCACGTTATTCAGTATTGTTGAATTAATTACATGCAACGAATACATGCAGTTATTGAGTCGCTTTTTCAACTAAATGGAGAATTCGATTTGGATGGTTACCGCCGGCATTTCAATTTCCAGCTCGAAAATCACATTAAAAAGCGAATGAAAGGATTTGGATATACATATAAATATCTGACAATGCAGAAATGGGTTACATTCTATAGTAAAATATATTTTTACCTGTGAGCTTGCGCCCCCTGATCGCTAACGCTCGCCAAACCCCGAAAATTGCTACGCAATCTTATATGGTTTGCTTCGCAAAAAAAGTTCGCTTTGCTCGCTACTAACTTAGGTACACTGCAAATTCACAAAATTCTAAGAATTCAAAATAATTATTCAAATCCATATAAAAACTTTTTTTTAAAAAAATTACATCTTTTTAGTAAATACTAAGTCATTAAAATAAATTTGAATTCCAATAAATGACATGTAATCCGTTAAACATATTATAAATGTGCTATAGTATAATTCATGATATGAATCAAAAATCGTCAAATAAATTCGTAATATATAAATTCGTGAAAAAAAGCGCTTTCGACAAAATACCAAAATAGAGATCTATCGACAAAGACTACTCACTTGTGCCTAGGTTAATAGTATGAGATTGCCGCAGCTGATGCTCTCTGGTTATTTCAGTTTCCGTTTTTAAAAGCACTTTATGTTGAGCCACCTCAGCTAGATCTGGCATGGGACATTTTTAGTGGCAATCATTGGTCGATTTGCCGTGTAAGAGAAATAGTAACTTAAACAAAACAAAGCAAACGTTGCCACCGGCGGAAAAGAAATACAACTAAAATTTGGGAACCACGTAAGAGAATTATATAGATAATAAATTTTTAACTAGTATATAATATTGAAATATTTACACCAATCATTAAAGTAATTACTGTAGCAATAAACAATTATGTAACTAGTAGAGAAGTAGAAAGTCATACAGTTCAATAATGTCTTAATTATTTTGAAATTTTAAGTGTTAAAAAGATTATTTTAAATGAATTAATATTTGTTCAGATGCATTGAATTGGTAGATAAGTCTTACAATTGGTTACTTTATGACCCCATGTCAACCGTTTTGTTTAAATCGAATTTTTAATTTCTTTACGCATTGTTTGTAAAATGAAAAGTATGATCATTTTCAAAAATTGATACTCAAAATGAACGGAGAGTTCTTTTCTTGACTAAACAGTTTCCTAAAATAAATGAATTGATGGAACATTTAGTCACATTGAAGAAATTATTGCCTTCGCCTGTTTGAGGATACGAATTTCATCTTTTGAGTTAAAATAATTTGAGTGCAACTTTGAAGTTGACACAATTGATTTGAACATGCGCGATAAATAAAAGAGATTTGAGTGAATGAGTTATGCCATTAGAAGAAATCGAATCTGAAAAGACTACTTAAAAAAGAGAGCGACTATCTGTCTTGCAATGCAAACGATTTTATAATAAAAAAATAATAAATTGGGACCTAGATCATCTGAAATGCAAAATTTAGGAAGTACTTCCTTCAGATGTGTGAGAGTTTATGCTTAATAGACAATCAAGTACTTGATTGTCGATTAAAATCACGTGATTTTAAGACAAAATGTTTTTCAAAAATGAAAAAAAAATCACATCAAGGGTTGTGTCAGGGAACATCCGGGCGGTCTGGATTTAAACTAGCAGTATCACCAATGACATAATTAAAAATTTGATTTAGTGTAATTGGTAAATCGAAGAAACAATAAGGAAAACATATTCATTTATTAAACCGTATTAAGTACATCCATAATAACTTACACTCTCTTCAAACATAAGCAAATCTCATTCTGTTCTAAAATAAATTAAAAAGAGAAATAAAATCACGTAAGACGTTTTTGATATTGGCCCTGCATTTTTCGTTATTTCATATTTTTTTCCTATTTTTGCCATCCTCGTTGAATTTTATTCTTAAAACTCCTGACAGATTGCTTAATTTTTACTTTACGACAGACGTTAAATAGCCGACCCAATTTTTGTGTTTACGACTATCACTGTTCACCTCCGTCAACTTGTAATTTTGAACCCAATGCAGAAGACAATGGAACTCCTGGATCAAGTACTGAAAGAAAGATGCCTTCATGGAAGGCTTTTTGATAGAACTAACCCGCATTTACGTTACATGAAGAGGAAAACCACAAAATTGTTCCTCGGTTAGCCTGGCGACAAAGGGACTTTATTCTATGTTCCGCATACCACTGAGGATTATAGTTTTCTACCGTTTTTTTTTCTACATATTTTGTCAAATCCGAAGCAGTTAACATGCACGCAATATAGTGATTGAATCAGATAGTAATTTTAGATCAGAATAAATTTTTGGACTATTAAATAATGAAACATTTTTAACCAATGTTGCAGTTTGTTTTTTGTTTTAAACAATATATATGTATGAAGGCCGGGATAACCTGGTTGGTAGTGTCTTGGGTTCATGTCCAAGGGGTCGTGGGTTTGATCCTTGTCGGCCAAAGATTCCCTGTGTAGTAAATGGTGACTGGTGCAAGTAAAATATGTCGGGTAACAAAGTCCTCAATGTTCCCCTAACAATTCATACCTCTGAGGGTACTGAATTGGAGTTAGATCGTTCTCTGGTTCAGATCAATATTGCGATCTGTGAATGAATAAATGGGTGTATGAATGGGCCCTCCCATCTGGCCGTGAGGTGTGTGTGACTGAAGTCGTATTCTTGGGCATAGATGGCGCCACTGGAAAAAAAACAAGCGCACCATTAGCTTTAAATTCGCTTGATTTCACCAAGCAGGCTTGCTGATATTTGCAAGTGACATTAGAAAAAACAACAGCATAAATATGTGTGTATCTATGTATATGAATTTTTTCAGTATATTTATTAGTATATATAATGCATAACTCCATCTTGACAATATATTATCAATAATTCCGTCCTGAAATTAATGATAATAAAGGGACAAAAATTATATAGTTTCAAAATTATTTTAAATGTGATGGAGTTACAACAAGTGAGTTTTTCACCACATTGTTTTTTGAGAAAGAATAAGTTTTCACATACCATCATATTATAATTTTGAGAAAAAATGAATTTGACTTAATTCAGATTTAATCAATTATAAATAAAGTTTCAGTTGAAATAAATAAAGCTAACTAAACTGAAATTAAAAATTTGATTCATTTCAAGCTGAAATAAATAAATTGCAGGATCTAATTAGTAAAAATAATAACAATAATAATCCTTAATTTTACTAACATTGTATTTTATCTCTTCATAGATCTCAATCAAGGTTTGGACATGGTCAAAGTAAGATCAAACTTTTATCATTTACCTTTTCATTTAAATTGCCTTCAGAACTTAATATTTTTTTGCAATTTTCAAAGGAGAGTAAATTATCTTTATTCGTTTTCTAAATTGGTAGCTGAAATTAAAATTTACTTTTTTTTAAACACTGATAGAACCAAATGAGATAATGTGGCCGTTGGAGTAAAAAAATGACTGAATGCTCTAATTTTTTTTTTATAAATATGCGTCCGTTGTTTTATGCCTGCTTTAAATTGTTGTAACCACGAAATTATACAGTAGGATAACATTTCGAAAAATAGCTTGTTTGTTTTTTTGTTTGCGCCAGCGAAATTTCAATTTATTAAAATAAAATAATAAAAAAATATTTTATTAAAATGAAAAACGTATCACCTACATTTTGCTTAATAGGCTTTTAATTACATTTATACTGAAGGTTATACGTCTCTCATCTTATAATATATTAATTGTATCAACTTAATTTCACAGACGTATAAAACATATATCTTATTATATGTTTATAGAGAAAACCCTCTGGTATGATTAAGAGCTTACTCTTTTTCCATAGCTTTGATTAGGGTTTGATTACTCTTAGTGAACGCTGAGTGACTAATCAGTAATTCATTTAAATATTAGTTTGCAAATACTACAAAATGTAGGGTTTTGTGATTTTTAGTAAGGGAGTCTAAAAAATATACAGTCCCGAAGTGGACTGATTGTAAAGACACGGTTCTCAGTAGAACACCAAAGTCAAGCGTCACTGGCTGCGGTCAGTAAGCGCGTGGATTACCGCTTTGATCACCCTGCGTAGAGACCGAGGAAGTGCGGTATCGGCTCTCGTTAAACTCTTATACCGTAAAAAGGTTCGATTTCGCCCTCAGGTCATCGGGCTACTAAAGCAAGAGAGCCATCAAAATTGCGATGACATTTCTTCAGATCATCCTCAGGGATGTTTCCCAGAGCCCATTGTGCCGCTCTTGTGCGACGTAAATAAAGTACCAGCTTACCTACCTAGAAATATACAATGCGTAAACAAAAGCGAAGCACATTTAATGACTGTTTATCTAATGATCGTATTTTTACATACTAGGACTCAATTTCATTAATTTGAGGAAGTAATTTTAAGTATGCAAATTTGTGCAGACGATATTTTAACAAATAAATCAAACACAAAATCCTGCTTTATCTAAATAATTATTCCCTTCTTCAGTAGACATGAATTTTTGACTAAAAGTAAGGTTGACATCTGAAATATATGGTCCGAATATGTTTTAATGTTTATCTTAATTCACTAAATTTATTAATTTTACTTCTTCGAATTTCGCAATATCTCCGCAATGAAGCAAATCAAATACTTCGTGCACACAATTATAAAGCGTGCTTATTGATATATAATCCCATGTAAAAACATTTTTTATTATTGTTACTCGTTATTTTTTTCATTAATTTACTAATTGTTGAAAATTTTTCATATTATAAAATATAATAGAAATGTTTACATGCTTTAAATATGCATAGTTTTAAATTATTTTAAAGGTTTAAATGTTTTCGAGAAATGATAGGATTTCTTAGAAAATAAGTAGAAATTTCAATCATTCTCACGTCTCAACTCTCGGGACCCTATTTCCAGGAATGGAACTGTCCTTCATTTTGAGAATCAGAAATTTAATCCCCCCCCCCAAAAAACGGGGTGTTTATTCAGAGAAATTACTGTTTGGGGTAGTAATTTAAATTATCATATGCAAAAATTAATTTAAATTTTTATACTTAGGTCTGTGTCCTAGTGCGTGAAAATACAATCATTAAATCAAACCCAATTTAAACTGTTAGCTTTCTTTTGTACATAAAGAGCGTTAATTAAAAAGCTCCTTTTATAAACAAATATTACTTAAACAAACATTATTTACTATAATTTTAGCGTTTTGAATTGTAAAAATTTTATTGCAATTTACTAAGTTCTTATTAGTAAGTAATTGGGTGTTTATTTTTAGGTGAAAGACTATATGCTTTAAGTACAAAGAAACCATTAATAGGTAAGGCACAGAGACTTTAATTAGATAAATTGTGTTAAGTTGAAAATTACGTATTGCTGTTAAAATTGATGCTTTGGAAATGCTACACAGGGAAAATGCTTTCTTTAAAACTGGCACATTCATTCTATTTGCAATTTTGGTGAAATATTACGATTGTTTGTTCTCCTTTAATTGAAAGTATGTCAATTATTGCATGAATATTATTAGAAATGTAGTTGAAAGATTCAAAAAAGTCATTATCCTTTATAGACACAGGTTGGTCTACAAATTGTCCAAATAACTAAACACATTTATTTCTTATAAATGAAATAATACGAAAATACTTCAGAAATCAGAGAATACTTTCAAAGTTTATAAAAAATATGTATTTAAATCTGCTTAAAAATGTTTAAAAATTACAAAAATTTTTTAAAAAATTATAATTTCAAGCTCAATTTTTTTTACGTCAAAATTTTTATCCCTTAGCTTTTTTTTATAAATTGTTAAAATTTCTTCTTTCCATTTCTAAAACTCCTTTTAAATTTAAATGATCAAAAATTGGTTTATATGTTTGATTTTATAAAAATTCAGAAGTATTCCTTAGGATAGGTAGTATAAGTAGTTAGGAAATTAAAGTAATTTCAATTAATATTCATACAACATTAGTAATCATGATATATTCAAATTTGCAATAAGCAACATGAATGAGACAGCTTAAAAGTTTTGAGCATGTCAGACTATAACATGGTTTAGTATGGTGCTATATTAAACAACGCAACGAATCAGCTTGAATAAAAATATGGTAAAGTTAAACACTTTATTATGATATAAGCAAAATATTGTACTGATATTATGATTCCATATAACAGAAAATATTTGCAATATTTTTGTTCATTGTATCGATATTATGGTTCAATATTGCAGTAAAGATTTGCAATATTTTATCCAAAATACCGATTTTATGATCCAATGGGGCAACAAATATTAACATTTTTGCCCAATTTACAGATATTATGGTTTAAGGCTGCTGCAAATATTTACAGTGATCTTGTTCATATAGATCAGTGTTTCCCAAAGTGTGGTACGCGTACGCGCAGGGGTGCGGGAACAGATTGGCAGGGGTACGTGTTCTTATGCGAAATATCTTGCAACAAACGAAAATTTCAAAAAAATTCATTTAAAATCAAAGCTAGCCATGAAAATTTACGATTACGTATTTTTCTATTGGCTATTTTTTGCAGAGTTAACAGTTAATAATTAGTGCTGTCAACAGCCAGTTGTGATTTTTAACTTTTGTGCAATTTTTTTATAGTAAAAAATGCATTCATTTTTTTATTAGTGGTACACAGCATTACGAAAAATTTGGAAAAGGTACACAAAGGTAATAAGTTTGGGAAACACTGATATAGATAATACGGTTTAATACTATATTTAAAAGTTGCAATACTTTCTTAAATGTGACGATAGCATGGTTTAATGTTGAACAAATTTTGCTGGAAGTATAGGAATTACATTTTTAAAGTGTTTCATTGAAATTTTTCTATGTAAAATTTTAAAAAGCTTTATTTCGATATTTAAAAAAAGTGCTAAATGAAAATTGAATTGCTTTTTCAGCTAATTTTATTAATTACTTGGCCAACAATATTGAATTTTTTTATTCAGTTAATTTTTATAACAGCTTGATGCCAACTTATAAGGAAACTATTCCATCTCATTTATGCCATTTACTAAAGGAAACCATTATGCAAATTATTGTTAATCAAGCATAATTCGTCTTTGTTTCACTTAAATTTTTCATGGAACGGGAAGCTTTTAAACAAATAGCACGTAAGCATTAATCTAATAAGCTAGTAACTGAGAAACTTCTTGTAACTCATGTTCTGATTTAATAAGGTAAGTTAGTTAATCCAGGAAATCTAATTTGCTTCATCGTTTAATCTATTTTATCCAATGCTTTTTTTATTCATTTGTTTCAAATATCTATATTATTAATATGGAAGCACTTTATACAATTTATTACAATTATTTTATTGCTATAGATAGTAATCTTTACGCTTACTTAAGTTTTCGAATAAATTATTTCGGTTAATTTTAAATTTTGGATACATTTATCAATGAAGATTACAAATGGGTAGCTATTCTTAACGGTTAAGGAAATGCATTTAAACTATTATTGTTTTTTGATATGTTTTGTGATTTAATATACTATATCATGGAGCATTGTTATCACTTTTGAAACTTAATAAATTTTATCGTCGCCAAGTAATGATGTTTGTCAAGGTATTTTCTTGATATTTTATGTGCTTTCTTTCAATTTCAACGATAGTAGTTTTTTTATTTTTATTCTAACTGAACACCTGTTTTTTGTACGGTGTAATAAAATGCCAAAATATATCAAATCAATATTAATTTCTTTTATTTATTTCCAATAAGCTGCACAATCGGTCTTGCCGATGAGCAGACCTAGTGCATTCTCCAGAGGTGGTATCCACTCTTTCAGGACCACCACAATGGCTGAGATACCGTTGGTCATGCTAATTTGGACGTCTAGTTTCTGCCACACTAGAGGCAGCACCGAGACTCTATTTGGATGCTAAAGTGCACTAGGAATTTAATTTTGCTGGAAACGCCAAGAGCCAATAAGGCACTCCAGGGATCTTTTACATCCCGTATAATCATACGACATGGCCACTGAGGATTTTCTGCCTCCCGAAAATCCGGTGTCTGGGTCGGGCATCTAACCTACAGACTTGGTTTCAGAAAGTTGACGACAAACCAACTGCGCCACCCAGCCACTCAATATTAATAAAAACCTAGAAATCATGCAGGAAATTAAAACCCTAATTAACACAATAAAATTAATTCCAATTTCTTTTCATTATTTTTGAATTCTTTTCTAGGTTAAGTTTTTATTTCTATACTAACTAAACACGTTGTTAGAAGTGAAGCTAATAAAATTAAAAGATTAAGTATACTCAAAATTGTAAATGATGTCATTAATTTTTAATATTGGCCAACACATGATAGTCTAGATTTATACCAATGAAGCAATTTACCTGAAAAATTTATGTTTAACTTATTACTTAACTTCGTACTTAACTTCTTACTTAGAAGAAAAGTATGGTCAAAACTACCAGAATATGGTAAAATTTAGAGTGCTTATGACTCTCTAGGAACATCAAAAATCGTGGTATTTTACATTTTGCCTTAATTTTGATCGTTAATGAGTTTGAATGAATTAAAAAGTAATAATTATGGAGGAACGTGCTAGAAACTCCATGTGGATTAAGCTAGTAAACTTTTGCAAAGCTAGTAAACAGCGATGTTGTCTTTCATTTAACTGATTCATGCTGATTCATTTAACCGATTCAACTGACCAACAATATAAAACATCACATAATGCTAAACACAAGCCAATAGCTTGTTTTATGCGCTTACTTTCCGAACCCTATTATAAACTTTAATTCAACGAAAATAATTTTAAGAATTGTGGAATAAATTTGATTTTAGTATCTGCTGTCCAAGATTCAGGATCTTAGTATAAATGTGTCTGCAGTTATACGAGGAACACACATCAGCACAAACACTTTTAATGTTACAGAATTAAATGTACACAATTTAATTAAACTTTTGACAATAACTAACTTAAATGGTAGAGCTTTATTATCTGGAACTTTACTCTTTGTGAACGTCCTTTGCGAATTCTTTGTATAAACGTCTCAAAGTTAATCGTTTATATCACTCTCCATGTTTTTTTTCCTTTCCGTTACCATGGTTACGAAAATATTAATTTTCTCCCTCGGCAGTAAAGCGTGAAAAAATTCTGAAGTAGGAAAAACTAAAGATTTGAGGATACAGTGGAAACAAAGAAGGGGGAAAGTGTGGAGAGTGTGGAAATCGAGTAACTTTGAAACATCTATTCTATTTGCTAAGAGCATAATTCATATTTCCTCATTGTAAGCAAAAAACACCTTGAGACCAAAGATATGAATTATGAATTCTTTTATTTCAGCCTCCAGAGAATGCTTACGGCCTCTTCCACCAGACAATGGAAAAATGAGATGTAGCATGGAAAACGACGATTAGTAAGGCTGAAAATTATTAGTACAATTATTAAAATTAACAAAATTATTATTAGTGGAATTATTAAAATTATCAAAATTATTATTAGTAAAGATGGAAATCATTTAGTTTCTGCGGAAACTTAATTAGTTGTAAAATAATACAAACATGAAAAAATATTAATTAGATGACAAAATGTATTACATTTTTGCATTTATATTAAATGGAAACATTAAATAGAAAGTGTATCGTTGTACACTCGAATACGTTCTCGAGTTGTTGGTAGATAAATAAAGCCTACTATTACTTAAATGAGGAATTAAACTCTAGTTACCAACAGTTAAGTAGTAAATTATAATATATTAGAAAGGACAAAAATTTATTTAGATATACTAAATTTATTTGGATTTTATTAAGACAGTATGGACGTGATCATAGATAGCATTAGTATGACGTATTATTTCGTCGCATAAAAAACAAAAAGTAAAATGCATTGTAAGAAACTCTGGATCAAATTGCGGTAAAAAGTACCGGCACTCAGGATGCCTGTATTTTTTACCGGAGTGAACGGAACGAAAATTCTGATGTGCCTTGACTTTTACTGTAATGATTACCGTAAAATCGCTGAATCACTCTAATTATTAAACTAAAACCATAAAATTAAGGTATAATATTTTACTTTAAATATATATTTTGAGGTGAAATGGGTTTTACAAGCACAGTGAGGTATACAGTGTGAGGATTTCACAGCAAACATAATGTGTGGATTTCACAGTGTGGTATAATAACTGCAGTTTATACTATTGGATCTAATTTTTCTTTTTTCTTAATTTAGCAAATGCACGGCTGAATGTGATGAAGGTTACAGATTTCCCAGTGGTTTTTCTAAATTGACGTTGACTTGTGACAGAGACGTAGGAGAGTGGATTCCACAAACTCTAATATTAAATTCATTCCCAGATTGTGAAAGTAAGACGCGCATTTCAATCTCTGATATATTTTATTTTTTGTAAATATTAATTAATAGCGTCTTAAAGTATGTTATTTTAGGTTCAGTTTCTTATAAGGATCTATTTTATTAGGATCTTTTTTTACTCACTAAAATGCAACTAGGACAAAATTTAAACTTTAGTTTTATTTGAACGCGAACCTAAATAATAAACTAAGATGTTTCAGAATTTTAAGTTCATAAAATCTACAAACTGTATATTTCCTTTAAAATTTTAAAACCATCCAAAAAAAGGTCTGTGTTTGTTATAAAAAATAGAAATCTGCGTTTGCCCATTTACCAATACAAAATTAAATTTCCCCAAGAGAAGAAATTTTCTAATCGAACTGCTAAAATCTTAAAATCCTTTTTAAGAATTTTTTTTAAAAAAATATCAATTTTCAGTTCGTCGATGAATTTAAGTTTTTTTTATCAATTTTCAAGAAAACTACGGTGAATCGTTTCTATCAAAATATTTCGTCTGAAAAAGTAATTGAATAAAACTGTCTGAAAAATGTTTGTTCAAGAATTGTAAAAAGAGAAGGAAAAAAAATTACCTTTTTCGAAATGAAACTCCTTAAGAACTGNATATATATATACACAAAATATACACACACACACAATGTTTTTACATTTTAACCACTTTATTTACAAATCAAGATAAATTTTTTAAACTAAGGAAATTTAATTTGTTTAAACCAAAAAAGCCTTTATTCAAAATGTAAATGATGAAAAAGTATTAATAAATGTACTTTTGATTCCATAAATTTTTATTTTTTAAATATATACTATGTTATGCGAGTAATTCAACGTAATTTTAAAATTTTATGTTAACTTTTATACCTCAGTTACAAAGATTATGTTAAATTTGATGCTTGAGTTCTAAAGATAATGTTAAGTTTTATATTTGATTCGTCATATTTTTTCATATATTTGATGTGTTTTTTATGATAAGGTCTTAAAACTATTTCTTTATCAAATTTTCTGAAATCTAATAATGAAGAACTGTAGATTACATTTCTTTTATTTGGTGCAAGTAACATGAAACATGTTACTGGTTGCTTTATTGATTGGATTAAATACGTTTTTCTTAACTAGTCACAAAATATCTTTCGCAGTTTTGCATCCCTTTGAAATTTTTCTATGTATTATCAAAAAAAGTGCAATAGTATAAAACAAATTCATGAGGAAAAAAACACATAATGAAATTGTACGAATACTTTCAAATAAAACAATATTAAACGCATTCTTTTATTCTCAGAAATATCGCATTTATGCTTTGATAAAAGTTGAATAAATCTGTGTAAATATAAAAATCTATATAAGCTTCCTCAAATTTAATTATGTTTCCAAAAGGGAAAGTCTTAAAAATTGTAAAATTATTTCGCAAAAGTTACGTTATAGCATATTATACCACCACTGCAGAAAAGATTAATTTAAAAAACTAGGTTTCTTTTTTGCAAAAACTAAGGAAAAAATTAAATAATTAAATTTTAAAAATCTGGCGCTTCTAAAAATATTTCATTTGAAAGGCTACAGTATTGCAGTTTAAAATTATCGTGCATTAAATATTTAGTGTTTTTGTCTTATCATAGTTCTTTTTTGCAGTTAGGTATGGAGATGAAGACGATTATCAAGGTACGTTTTATATCATTTCAGTTTCAATATCAAACCAATGTAAACTGGTGCAATACCAACCAATGTTAACTGGTGCAATATCAACCAATGTAAACTGGTTCAACATCACCCAATCTAAACTGGTTCAATATCTACCAATGAAAACAGATGGGTACAATCTTGAAATTTAGCCTTGTTAAAGTAAATAAAGAATCTTCAAAAAAAATTGAACGGAAAAAGATATTTGCTGCCGTAGTTTTGCGATGTTGAATAATGTAACTTTGATATCTAAAATACTCACGGAAAAGCACTCTTCGCCTGCAATGAACAGTCGTACATTTTTTCTATTAAAAAAACAAGGTATTAACATACTTTTTTTCGGATAATTTAATAAATTTCAATCCAGCAGGAATCAAAATTATTCAATCAATGAATAATTTTTAATTTTGTAGGATTTCATAATAATGTGGCCAACCTTCTTGACAGCTCTAATGATTATTCATATATTTTTATTATGTATGTTTTGCTTTAAATAAAAACAGCGGATGTCGTTCATACATGTTAAATTAGAATTATTTTCTTTACTTTCACAGACAAAACAAAATTCCTGTTTAGAAACCTAGCACGTCTGAAATACCCGGAGGTGAATGCGGTTTTCACACAATTTAGATTCTAAAAAAAATTTCAACGTAAAGAATACTGGGCGATGTCCCTTACATTAAACAAAAATCCATGTAAGATTTGTCTAGAAAGTGTATACCGCGCATGACACTATACTTAACAAAAAACATCAGTGACGGGAAGCATTTCTTACCTTTTTAAACCTGCAAAAGGGAGGTGTGGCCATCGTTTTCCTGAATACCTTAGTTTGAAAGAAATAAAACACCACGTATAGTTTGTCAACTGTAAGAACTTCCCTTTCCACGAAGTCTGAGGCAGTCTGCTGCTATGCAAACAAGAATAGCGCATTTTAGGGAGGGTAGCGTCTCTTCACTCTAGGGCTAAAACAATAGACCGAATTCCCTTTCTCTCACCAACACAAGCCAAAACCTGTCCTAGACAGTGACCCTCTATATGAAATAGTCATACCTCGTTACCATAGTCACCGCCACGGGTCCAGACGAATGGCTAGGGGAGTTCTTATTTTAAGCAAACTGTAGGTGTTCTTCTACGTATACGAGTTCGAAATAATGTGTATGACCTGACAAGATGACAATTCATTGGCCTGTTGTTAACTTCCCGATTAATAAGGAGCTGTAAGGCTCATAATGAGTATCTCATTGGTTTGTAATGTTTTTTTTTAAATATAAGGCTTCAAAGTTATTTTAATCATTTGCCAAATGAACTTCATATCAAATATTTGAAAATTCATAATTTCCCCACACATCGCTTATAGATCCGTACATATTGTATCGTATTCTCTTCGTTCCTAGTGGTTGTTTTTTCTCATGGTTCGAAGAAGATAAAAAAAAATCCACGTACATAAATGAATATCGGCGCTACATTAAGTCTAGAAAAATAGTTTTTCGTTTTTTCCCTTAAACATAACATGATAAAACAAGTGTTCTGTGTGAAATTGAAGATTTAAATATCTGTGTAACAGCTTTCAAATGAGTTGGAATTATTATGTTTTCCTTATGCAGATATTGGAGGCAACTACGGTCAAACATACCAGCAGGGATCAGATGGAGGATATTCTAATTCACATTCATGTAAGAATTTACATTTAATTAGTTACTGAAATCACAACAAGAAAAAATTTATTAAGCTAAGAATCTTAATTTCTTTAATATAGACCAGAGGTCACCAAACTGGTCAGTATCGACGCATAGGGGTTGATATAGTATAATTAGGAGTCTATCTGATCTACGAGTAGAATTGGATCAATGATCACCAATTTTAATCAATATCAAAGATTTTTTAAATTTAGTAATGGTTTTAAATTATATTTTAGAGATATTTAACTGCGGATATCCCAGAATGGATAATCGCTCCACTTTATCAAGTTGGAAATATCGACATTCATTTGCAAGATGAAGTCATTGAATTAAAATGGACTTAGAAGCTTTTATCAAACTTGGCTATGAATTAACATCAATCTAGTACTTGAAAACATATAAAATTTTGAAATGCGGAATTTTACCTTTGAATTTCATTCCATATGTGGTTGAATGTCATGTTAGTGTTATTTTAACAAAGCAGAGAAATAAATTGAGCTTCGAAGCGATTTGCGACAGAAAATAATTTCCAACCCAACGTTAATCAAGCCAAGCTTTATAAAGCACATCTTCTCATTGATTTATTTGAAAGTTTATTTTGGCCAAAATAAAATTAATCGTTCAAGAAACAGGCAAGTTTATAGTACAGGTAAGTAACAGAAGGGGGTCGATGAGTGAATTCTGAAAAGTTCGTGGATCTATGATCAAGGAAGTTTAGCTACCACTGATAAAGACAGTATGATTTATCTGTAAAAACATATCGTTACTTATAAGCGACGTCATTAGTTTAACGAAACTATACGTTAGAAAAGTGAAAGCATTTATTTAAACCTGATAAAAAGTGTCATCATTCATAACTTTGTCTCGCATATTTTAATAACCAACCCAACCAACCATTATCCGCATCATTAATTATCTAATCGCAAGTTGGACACATTCATAATATATTAGACTATATATTAGACTGTATTAGTATGTTAGACTATATAATATATAGGGACGAAAATTTGAATATAAATAAACAGCTAATGAAATTATTTATTTTCGAATAACATAAAATGAAATTCTGAACTGTTAAAGAAAAAATTGATAAGAAATGTATTTAAACTGTTATTCATCAATATGAAGAAATTTTTCGATCAACAAATTGTTTATAATTATTTATAATTTTGCTGCAAAAATAACTGTCATTTAAAGCAAATTAAGTTTTATTTAACCTTTATAACATAGAAATACAGTTAATATGACTACACAACATTCATTCCACATTAAGTATATTGATAAAATTTTGAAACTTTTTGCAGCATCTCAACAGTATAATTCCTACAACTCTTATCAACAACAAAGTAAGTGCATTTTCCAATAACTATAAATGTAACTATTTCAAATCTGTAGAGAACTGTCTTATATCTGTAGCAGGAGTACATTCTCAGAAAATTTTTTTTGATGTGAATCCTAATGTCAGTACCTTGAACACTGATAAGGTTCAAATGTGTTGTTATGCTTATATGGTGTAAAATTGAACAGTGTTTCCTTTCGAGTTACACCATAGAATATTGTTTAATCATGTGATAAAGCATGACAAGTTTTAAATGTGGTTCATATTAATGTCACAATAAAGTTTCGTCTAATATGTTCGATATTAACGTTCAACACGCTTAGTAATATCTATCAGTGTACTTCCATGCTCTTTCTATTCTGTGTTTTTTTTTCGCGGCATGCACATGCCGCGAAAAAAAAAAATCCGGCACTATGTAAAAAAAAAATCCGCAACTACGGAAAGAAAATCCGGCCCTATTTTCTGGCACCTCGTGTTATACGGCGGCATGCATATGCCACCGTATAACACGAAAGCACTACATATAAATTACTAAATAAAGATTATTTATACATATGTGAATATTACTATATTATTTCATTGTACATAAATTTTTGAATTTTGTGTATATCATTTTAGGAATACATATAAGTGTACAGGTTTTAGTTAATTTTATTTATAAGTATTAGATTACTCTGACTGATTACTTACTGTTTTTTTTTATTTTTCAGGAACAAATGACGGCAGCTTATTCGGAGGAAGTTCAGGTAAGAAGGCAGACACTTGATTAAAATCAATTGGAAAATCAGTTGCAATAATTTTAGGTATATTTATTGCTATTACGAATAGGGAAATTTTCTGTTTTAGGAGAATGTAAAACATTGAGACAACCTGAAAAAGCTCAAAAAGAATGTAGAATGGCAAACGGAGCATGGTAAGTAAAAGCAAAAATAAATAGTTGCGATAAAATGCTTATTACGCTTTAAAATGCTTATTACGCTTTATTAGCTATAAATTGACAAGTTTAATTTGTGATATTTTGTACTTAAAACACCTCTTAATTTTTTTTTAAATTAACAACTAGTAAACATAAAATAAGATTCGCTACGAACAGACTGCTCTTAAAACATGCTTTTTGAAAGATTTTTAAATTCAAAAAATCAAAAGTTGGAGCTTGTTATGTCATTTGTTCTTGCGCGAATTTTATTTTATGTGGTCACTATTTTTAGAAAAATATTTAAACGTCGCTTCCCTAACAAATTAGGCATGTAATAGCACGGGTACTGCATACGCGGCGGAATGCTGAAGATGTCTGTCTGCATCCTGTTCTACAACTTGTAAGATATCAACAGACATTCCTGCTTTTCTTACGATCTTCCAATGAGCCCGTTTTCTCGAAGTTTTTTTTAATCGTAGTCTTCAATCAAGGCAGATTCTTTCATAATTGCCCTGAATAGTACGATAATTACTTAGCTAAACTTACCGATTCTTAATTTTAGTGAAACAATTTCACCAATAAAACTTTATCAGGAAAGGTAACATTTCTTAACACAAAAGTCGAAGATAAAATTTTACCGTATTTCATTTNGATATAGATATATGATATAGATATATGATATAGATATATGATATAGATATATGATATAGATATATGATATAGATATATGATATAGATATAGATATATAAATAACAAAAATACTTTTAAAAAATATAATCAGCAATGATCTCTTATATTTTAATATCAATTTTTGGAAGAAAAGAAGTTTTAAGAAATCAAGGCTGAACATTTATGTTTCCTGCACATTAAAAAAAAATTATTGAAGTAATTTTTACTTTTCTAATAACTTTCAGGACTTGTGTTTTTTCTTGCGTGGGTGGATTTCAGTTTCCAGATGGAAGTATTCAGCTAACATTATCATGTACACAAGGAATTGGACAGTGGCTACCGACCGACACTTACGAAAACTGCAGAAGAGGCAAGTAAAAATAAATATGATGCTGAATTATAGTTATTTTTATTTTTTATTTTTAACTGTAATCAATAACAAATTGGCAAATTGGTTTGCTGAGGCAAATTGATTTGACATTTTACTGTAACACCATGATAACTTGTATTAATACCAATACGTTGAACAATACTTCAGTTTTAGTTTAACATTACTTAATAAAACTCATTTCAACTCAATTTACACAGTATTCTGATTCAAATAGATACTGTCTTAGACTGTCAGAAGTTACTCAGAAAAAATTGTTAAATAACAGTTTATTTAGCTGTTATCTTACAATATTCAATCAAGACAACCAAATGACCATAACAAATAAATGGCATTTCAAACTATTAACTGTGAGAAAAACATTTTATTAACTGCTTTTACCTAATACAAATAAACAGCCAGGATTGTATTGCACCAACTAGGATCACCTAATGAAGCCACTTGGTTAGTTGCAGCTGAGTACATGCCATAAACGAGAGGTCTAATCTGTCAATCGCATCACCGACAGAGTGGGAGTTCGTGTCCCAGCTTTGACACCATAATATTTCCCCCATTCCTTTTTCACGTGAAGATTTTTCAGTGTCCAGCACTCCCCAATTTGTTTCCCATCATTATTAGAATTCGATACTCTTATTCACGCACAGATGACATCACCATGTCAAGTTAAATTTCTTTTTTTACGATTTTTGAACCATGCTATTTGTAAATGGTTTAAAAAAACATAAAGTTTTGAATTGATAGATTTTTTAACCATAGTTGTTGTCAACGGTTTTAAAACCGCAAAGAATGCACTTTACTGTAAGTTTTACGGTTAATTTGATGGACAGACTGCTGGAGGTTATTTTACCGTAATTTTAGAATGAAAATTCTGTCAGTGTAAAGTTGGAGGCGATTCGAACGATTTGGCTCATTAATCATGGCATTGTGCTTTTCAATGGGGGTATGTGCAAATAGAAAATGGACCAGAATTTTAGTCGACCATCTAATGATGTTAGTGTCCGTCTATTAGTGAACGTTTTCTATCTGCATATTTAAAAAGGCGGATTTTTTATTTAAAAAAAATAATTGTTTTCCTAACTTCGTTGATGTAGTCAGTACTAACATATATGTCTGATATTTTAAATATGCCGTATCAAGACGTGGTTAAGGCACTGATCTGTCATTGTGGAACACTAGGGTTCGATTACCGGTCGTGGATTGAAGTTTAGCTTTAGATTGATTGGTACTACCTTGACTGGAATATTAGAGATGGAAGCTATACAGTTTTGTGTAGTAGACGTTGCAATGACACACTAGTGCATACTTATTTCCAAGTTCAATGATTCAAAGTGTTTTCAATTTCGAAAATATAGTTCCAATAGATTTGTCATGAGATCTGGAAATTTAATTTCAAGCCTTGCTTAGTTCAGTTTATTTTGAACACTTATAAATTAATGGAATGTATGCAGTGATGGCCACTGTATAGAGCTTTATAACTCTCCCTGGACTGGGACTTGGGTGCACAAATATGGTGAATAGAGTCTCCAACTACGAAGAGTCTTGGTTCGAATCCTGGTGGTAGGTTCAGATGGTCCCTTCAACACGTTTCTTTATTAAGTTTAAGACTATGCATTTTTGTTAAAAATGTGTACACCGAAGAGCCATTACATTATGATCACGCTGCTAATAACATGTTGGACCCCCTATAGTCCTCAAAACTGCTAGCACCCGCCTTGGCATTTATTTCACAAGGTGCTGATACGTAGTCTGAGGTATCCGGTACCAAGCGCTCACCAACTGGTCCTGCAGTTCCCTCACATTGCGATGGGATAACGTGGCTGTATGAATTTGGTTTTCCAAGTAAAACTGCAAATGCTCTATTGGATTAAGGCAGGTGAATTTGGGGGCCAAGACATGACTTGAAAGTCACTGGAATGTTCCTCGACGATTCAACCCTTATGACATGGTGCAATATCCTGTTGGTAAACACCATCCCCCGCAGGAAAAACTGTTGCCATGAATGGGTGAACCTGGTCTGCAACTATGTTCAAGTAGCTTACAGACGTCAGGGATTGTTCTATGAGGATTATGGGTCCTAATGTGATTCATGAAAACATTGTTCCCGGGAGAGAAACCATGAAAACCTGGGCGAGCCTATTGTTATAGATGGAGGGTGGTCATAATGTAATGGCTCTTCGGTGATTAAGTGCAGTTTGAATTTTGAATATATATGGTTTTCAAATTATGCTACTTTTGTTCGGACCTATTTTGACACATTTTTGCTCAATTTGGAAAAGCACTTTTTTAAAATGTGACTGCAAGAAAACGGAGAGATTTGAGAATGAAGAAAACTAAATTGCAATCCAACGTTATGACTCCTTGAGGGACAGCAGTAAGGGCTCATTAATTACAAATAATTAAAATACTATGTCAAACTGAACTTAAATTTCAACTTTCATATGTTTTGCAAATCTACTTACTATGTTAAGTCAATAAATTTCTATTGATTCCTTCATAAAATAAAACCTATCTTTGAGAAATATTTCGGAGGAATGAGAATTTTAAAAAGTTTCTCATGAATATAACCCAACAAAAACTTAGAAAAAAAATTTTCTAAAACATAGTTGGATCAATTACGTTTTGCTAAGTAAAACACCGAAAATAAGTATATTGAACTTTATTCAATTGCAAACTGTTTTTGTTTTTTCACATTTTTTGTTACGCTTTGCAAAGTAAGACACCGAAAAGAAGTATATTGAACTTTATTCAATTGCAAACTGTTCTTGTTTTTTCAGATTTTTTGTTCCAATAACGAAAAAGTTCTTTTTTATTCACCTGTTTAAATTAATGTAAGGATGTGTTTTAGGCAGCCATTGATGTGTTTTAAGCAATAAATACACAACTAATTGGAAAAATTCTGAATTTTATGTTCGTAATTTCCAGTAATTAATATATAGGATAATAATAATAAAATTTTTATCATCAAGGCATTAAGAGTTTAAGTAGCGTTAAAGTAAGAGATAGTATTAAGTGTGAATTACAGAGAAATGCGAATATAAGAACAAAAAAATTTTAACTGATATTAACTGTTTTCATTTTTTAAGGATAAAAAAACATTGAAAATTACAAATATTTAAAAATTACAATTTTAAGTCAACATTCATTAGCAAAGATTTTCATATTGTATTTTTCGTAAAAATAGTTTTGAAATGAATTATTCATTGTTTTAGCCACTTCAAAAGAAAGTGAAGATTATGGTTCTTACCAACAACTAGGTAAACAAACATTATTATTTTTTTATTAACTCTCTTTAAATTAATTAAATATTAGTTATTTGGATTATAAAAGATTTTCTTTTTATTTGTTTTTAATCAAGCATGTTGATTTAAATTTTATAAGAATATCGCTTGCAAAAAACTTCAAAACATATATATTTTTCAAATTTTGAAAGATACGATTGAAAGTTTATAATTGGAATTTAAAACTTTCAGAAACTTTAATAATTTGATTTTAAGAAATGCAATTAAGAATTGTATGATTAAATTTTAAATTAATTTAAAATAACTTTTTAATTTTGTTACCTACATTTTAAACTTTATCGAATATCAGAACTCAACTTACAAATTTTTTTTTACTTAAAGTAAAAAGTATAGTTTTACGCTCTACACAAAAAAGCCTGAAGAATCAAAAGCGTTTTATAACTAAACATTATATATTTTTAGTATAATAAATTTAAAATAATTGGCAGTTTATTTTATGAAGCGTAAATATTTTGCTGCCTAGAGTTTTCTTTTGAATTGTACTTATTCAATTCACATTAAACTCATGTAACTTATTGAATTAATTTAACTTTTAAACTTTTTAAAATATTTCAAATAATTCTGAAAAATATTAGTATTGAAATGATAAACTAATATTTGAAATGTGTCAATTCTATCACAGGTAAATCTTCTATAAATGAATAATCAAATAACTTTTTATTTGAAAATGAACATATTACATTCTGTTCAATTAGTCACCATCACTGTTGAGCACATAAAAAAGAAAAGAAATTGAAATAAATATTCCACGTTAGCTAAGAATTCGAAATAATAATTTAAGGATTAGGATCTTTTTTTCAAACTTGTGAATTTTAGATTCGAAATCTGAATCTTCCTTCCAAAAACATTATTTTTTCTTCCAAAATTAGCAACAAATATTTTGCACTTCTATGTTGGTAAAGAATAACATCATGACATTTTTTTTATACAAAAACACAATTTTAATCTGGAATATCCTTATAATCAAGACCAAGCAGCCATATATTTCTTTCTTGAAAATCCTTCATTATTAATACTTCTCTAAGAACAATTTATATTTTCAGAGAACAGCGTTTTGATGAACTGCATATTTATATCTTGATTTAAACTTTTTTTTTCTCTAGTTAACTATAATTTCATTTTACAGGAAATCTGGGTGGATATGGTCAAGGTAAGTTTTAAGTTTAATTTTATAACTAACCGCTAAAAATCTACGTTTTCATTAAATAAAAAATTCAGTAATCAAAGCTTAATGTAAACCAGATCAAAATTGTTTCTTGTATTCCAAAAATAGAAAATTAATATTTTGACTGAAAGAGTGATTTAACCCCTTAACGATCGGTTAAATTTCAAGAAAACGGTCATAAAATGCCTGTTTTTTGGCTTTTGTATTTGTATTACGTATTTGATTAGTGCTGTAACTAGTTTAAAATGAACTAACTATCTACAATTACCTTAAAAATATTCTGATACTGCCATCAGGTGTGGAGAATGAGAAATAAAATTTTTTCCGGGCAAAAGAAATGAATTAGTTTTATTCTTATTGGCGCATTACTACTGAACATTCCTGCCCGTCAATATCACGGGAGCGAGAAATAGCTGGCGAAA